TGAGCCCAGCCTGAACTACATATAGAAAGACTGTCCCAAAATGAATAAATAAATAAATACATAATTTTAAAAAAGGAAAGAAAAAAACATCACTGAGCAACCTTGTATAAGTAAGAAGATGATGTCATCCTTACCTATAGCAGTAATATGCATACACGTTTCCCACATCACATCTCCATAGAGCTTCTTTTGGGGTGGATTCAGCAAAGCCCATTCTGTCTCAGTAAAGTTCACAGCTACATCCTCAAAGGTCACAGTCTCCTAAACAATGACATGTTTCCTGAAGTTTCAGATGCACATCCTGAGATATCTCAACTCCTCTCATAAAAAGCCGAACTGAAGATGATTTCTTCAAATATTAATTCAATGTCTTGGCCATCAAACCCATGTTTATGTAAATATTTTCACACAGTAATTCTGATGCTAAATTGCAACACATTGCTAAAGTAACAGTGGAACAATAGTACTGGTTCTCCTGCAGGATTGCCAACATTTTATTTGTGCACTGTCTCTAAAGCAGAGCTCATAGAGACACCCCACAAATCACAATCCAAAAAACACAGGGGCACATAAATATCTATTAATGATTCTGATATACCATAGATTGTATGTCTCTTCAAATGTGGTTATTCACAGCATTCAGTCCATCTTTCCTTTCACTCGTGGAGAATTTTGAAACTTGAATCTGGTTTCATAGAAAAAACTTAATTGACTATTAAATAAGGTTTATGAATAGTTAAAATGCCAAAGGAAACACCCTTTTATTGGAGCAAGTCTATGTATGAAGAGTGTAACAGGGGAAAGGTGGCATATTATCTTGTAGCTCAGTGACACCAAATGGTCACCTTGCACTCAGATATAAGAAATATAAGGATGGTATAAGGGATGGTAATGAGGGGATAAATATTAATGAAATACAATAAAGGCAATGAAAATGAAAGTATCACAAAGTAAATCATCATTAAATACAAAAAGAAAACTTCAAACAGGTGTGGTGGAATGTGCCTGTAAACCCTGCACTTGGGAAGATGATATAGGAGGACTGCCATGAGTCTGAGGATTGCCATGAGTTGAATACCCAGCCTGGGCCATGTAGCAAGTTCAAGGGCAGTCAAGATTACAAAGAGATGCCCTGCCTCAAATTCCTCCCAAAACGGAGCACTAAAAAAAAAATTATTGTGTCACTGACTACTCACATCTTTGATTTGTTGAAAAATTATGGCTGTCCAGTACAATAAAAGACTAACATTGAACACCTTGTGAGCAAGGTGATAGCTTGCATAATATACATGAAAGGCATTCAAATTCCACCCTTCATGTCAGTGGATGATTAGTAGACGTATGAGAAATGGAACTCAGGAAAGGAAGACACTCTTCAATGGGTCCACAGGCAAATAGAATACTGATTCGTAATGGAGCTGGTAGGCTGTATGATAGACTGTAAACAAAAACCTTGCCCACCCAGGCTTCCGCCTAGGTCACTGACTTGACAGCCTTTTGGATCAGTGACTTGAAGTAGGATTTGCTCCTAGCTTTGCAGAGTCGCTTACATCTACTTACTGTACTCTCGGGCTCTATTTCTTGTCCAAGATGATGGGATCATAGCTCTGTGACTGTACCTCCAGATTCAATGACACATAGAGAATACTATCCAACCCAAAGAAGAATCTGTCCCCCGGCAAAGGCTGAACACAATGCAATAGAAGTACTAAGGTAGTCAGAGGGCAGAAATTGAAGCAGACTTTCAGCTTCATGGCACAGACTTTCTCACACATTAGCTCTTAATCTAATCATCTTCAGTAAGGAAAACAAAAGCATGCCAACAGGGAATATAATTATTTACTGAATGAACAAATTGGCATAATATGTTCATAGCATTACACAAAGGAATCCAGATGAAATTAAAATTTTCAAGTGCCTCAGAAAGCCAAAGTACTTTAACCTAAGTCACAAGGAAATCCAAAATTCTAAACACTAATAGTAACAGGGAGGCCAGAATGATAGCTCTAATGCAGCCCCAGCCTCAATCGCTTCCCTGTGATGAGGCAGGGAAAGGTAAAAACTTCAGGTGGTAAATTTTCCAGAATGTGCTCTTCCCTCCTCACAGGATGAAAGTATCTCACCTCTGGCATATTAATGTCACCAAAGAAATCACCTGATGTCACCTGATGGTTAGACTTCCATTGTCATATTGGTTGGTTGGAGAGATATCTAGGGTATTAGTAAAAGACACGTCTGAAGGTGTTTGAGTGAGGCAAGGAAGCAGGACCTATGAGTTACATCAGGTGCATGGCCTGTTCCTCTCAGCCTCTTTTTCTGCTGAAGACTCTCCATTGAAAGGCTGAAGACTCAATGGTAGGAGCCCAAAGAAACTTGAAACCAGCATCCAAAGGCAAAGGCAAATACCAGAGCTCATCCACAGAAAAATAAGAGACTTTTTTTTCCCTTTTTATTCCATCTAGAGTACAAGCCTATTGGTTGTTGTCAACCACATACATGATGGGCCATGCCTCCTGCTCTACAAGCCAGTCTTTCCCAGAGAAACACAGAGCTTTACAAATGGCTAGGAGGTGCTTACTCATCAAGGGTTCATACCACAGTTAATCATCACAAAATACTAAGTCATTTTTTGCTAGACATGCCCTTCACAGATATTCTTCATATAGAGTAATGATTTTCCATCAAATCTTTGCAGGTGACAAAGCAAACATTTTTCAGTAAAAGCCCTATGGCAGTCACACGCACATCCTTAGACAGAAGAAACCTACAAAATAATCTGTGTATGAGACTCCTGCTTTCCAACACTCTGTGGCTCGTCATAGTCAAGAGTACTTCATGCTGACTGAGGATTTAAAGCAATAAAATAATTTTTATCATGATAAGCTTATTTTTAAATGACAAAATTGATCCAAAAATATCAAATGTGAATTTTCCATCTTTTTCTGTGCATTGCCTTCCTTACCACCCCAGTTTACAACAGGCTCCAGCAGCTCCATTCCTAGTAATTTACATCTTCTCGTCACCTTTTTAAACTACTTCTGTACACCTCCGCAAATAATGCATGCAGTCAGTTCTATAAGAAATCCTGAGCACCTCAGAAGTTCCTCTCACTTTCAAAAAGTGTAGCTGCTCTAACTGAATTCTTCTGAGGCTGAAATACAAGACTCTATTGAAATTATAAATTTGAAGCTATTTTACAGGACCTATGATGACATTTTATATGTATACTACAAACTTGGTGGGGCTAACCCTAACCCTAATGCTAACTACTCAGACTTGTGTCTGCTAGTTGAAGATTTCCATTCTATCCCCTTGTCCTTCTGATATAAGCTGAACAGTATGATCAGAGTAGGGCACTTCTTAACAATAACAATAATAATAATAAAAATTATTTTTATTATTTAACCAAACAAACAAAGAAAAAAATCCAGAGTAGTGTATCCTTTTCCAAACAGTTTTATACTGTTCTCCTGATTCAATTGCTCAGGAGAAACAGGTTAATACAGTGTTCGAAACAGGAAACAATATGGTGAGTGTCATATACTACAGAGGACTACAAGAAGAGTTGAACAAATGAATCTAAGGATGCTACTTGAGTATGAAAAGGGAAACATCTTCAAACAACCTAAAAGTAATTTAAGACAAAATGTATTGAAAATGCACAAAATGTACCCAATTAAGTAACCATCATAGATAAGCCCTGGATACTTTCAACATGCTCAACACACACACATGATTTGTATTTAGGAAATCTAATGGAACACAAAGCCAAATTTATAATAGAACACTAAATATAGCATGCACCTTATTGAATACAGTTCACTGTAAATCACTGGCTGTTCAGCTGTAGTGTCCTGTTACTGAGAAAGCAGTGACTCATTACCATGATTCACCATCATGAGGAAGAATTATATTGTATGGTGCCATGGACCACTAGTGTGAAAAATGAGTGAATTTAAAATTACATATAAGATCTGTACTAAATAAAACTTTCCTTTTCAATTCCAGAAACTTAAAGAGGAACTTAGGCTCAAATATTTTTTTAAAAATTAGCTAGGGGCAAAATTCCTGAGATCAGTCCCTATACAATGAAAAAGATCAATTCCTAATTTCTAATTTTCCCTCAAAAGTGACTAGGTGAGCTGATCAGTGGTGAGAGAAGAAATTTTCATCTGTGACAAAGTTCCCTTCCTTGCTTTAGGCCTGTGACCTTTTCCCCACTCTCAGATCCAGCTTGGAGACAATCCTTCATCCACGGTCACACTAAGCACGCTCTCACTTCTGGAGAAGTTTCCTGTTGCAGTTGCTGATTTTTGCCTCCCTCCAAAATCCCCTGCTCTCTCATTTCCTTTTTACTCCCCTTTGCTCTTTCCTATTCAAAAAAAACCCTTTTATTCTCTCCATTCTTATGCTCAAAAACCTTAACTCTGGGAATTGAACCCAGCTTCAGTACTTGTTTTATACAAAGAATTTTTAAAACAATGTCTAGAAACAGTCCAGAGACTACAGCAATTTTTTCAAAGATGACACACTTTTCCCTTCACAATCATATCAATATCTCATGCATTTCCCTGTAGATCCCCAGTTCAATGCATTTCTCACCGTGGGCTCAGTGAGCAGCCTCTTTAGGAAGTTGTCCTTAGCAGGAACACTTTTCCCTCCCTTGCTAATACATTATCATCCCCTCCAACTTTCTCAGCATTCTACACTCTATGGAAGGCCTAACTTAAACAGTCTCATTGTAAAAAATATCATACTTAGCTTATACATAAGGCACCTAACTAGTGATAGGACATGAGATACAGGTGGGTAATTAGCCATTTGATAACAATTAAAATGAGAAACCAGATGTGCTTGAGTGAACCTGTATTCACATCACTGGGGGAGACTGAGGCAGGAGGATCACAGGCTGAGCTACACAGTGAGTTTAAGCCATGCCTGAGCTATACAGTGAGACCTTGTCTCAGAATACATACATGAATACATACATAAAGGGAATTTAAATGAGAATAGAAAATTACCTAGGATTTTGGACCAAGAGAGAAATTTCTCCATTACAAGGAATGCAGACCCCTCCCTACTAAAAGGAGTTGCAGCCACTCCTAAGCTCCAGAGTTCAAGGAAATTAAAAATTTTAAAAAAAGTTTTTTGCTATAATCCCAGTTTCCTCTGAATCCTGTATGCTGAGGAAGTGGGTCAGAGCCTGAGTTCAAAGTGGTTGTTTAAATTCACAGACCCATCTGTGTTAGATGGCCACTAAACAATTCATCTAGGTGATCATTAAATAATTCAGCTATTACTGGGCTCCACTTGTTTATTCCTCTCCACTGAGCTGCCACATGGCTACCCACTTGGGACACTTCCTGGAAATCAGGGAGCTATTCTTATTTCCAATAAAATCTTTCCTAATATCTTTCTTTTGGTTCAAGGCCTCATTCTTCTATGTGAGACCAGACCACTAGTTCTGTTCATGCAGTAATATCACTATGAGCAGAGGTCTCACGTAAATAATTAAAGCAACACATTTTTTTTCCTGCTAAGTATATAGCCCAAGGTTTCCCCAAAGGCCCTGCTCTCCTCAGACTGGAGAAACAGCTCTGCCTGAGGCTGCCCAAGAAAGCATTCTGAGCTAGCAATGTCACAGTTACAGGACGCTGAGGACTTGAAACTGTGCCTGCCTGAATAAAAGGGAAAAGGGACAGATGCTGCTGCTGAACCAAACACTAAGAATATCTCCGTGTCTGGAGCTAAGCAGGGAGGCTGCAGATTCTCATAGCTGGTTCTGGGTACTTTCTTTCAAAACGAACCGGATTCCACCCATTCCCAACTTCTATCCCACAACAGTACCATCGCGTGGCTTGTGGTCGCCCAAGATCCTTTGAATGCAGCTCGCAGCCAGCAGAAATTACAGCAAAAGGTGGTCTAGTTAGTTGGGAACTCTCAGCAAAACTCTCACGAAGAACACTTAAGCGCCATGATACAGGAAGTCCCCGCCTCCCTCCCTCAGCCCTCCTGATTGGGTAATTGAGCCAGCCTGCGCCTTCGTCGCTGATTGGCTCTTGCTCCATTGCCAGCCCCCTGAGGTGAGAGTGAAAAGAGCAACAATCCTCTACCAGCGGGAGTGGAGCTCAACTAGTAATCAAATGGTAAACCAGGGAATTCTGAACCAGCCTCTCTCCCGCGATATCAAACTCATCTCGCAAGAGGAACACTTGCAGTGAAGGGCTTTACTCCTTGCTTTTCAGAGCTTCCCTGGTTTCCAAATGGACTCAATGAACTCTTCCTGAAAGTGGGTCTCAGGTGTCCTCAGAAGGTCCCAGGGTCAATGTCCTATGAAAGAATCATCAGAAAACACCACAAGTTCAGGGTAGCCAGGGAAAATTGAAATAGAGGGAGGGTGCTGTTGGGAATGAGGCAGTAGGATTCATTGCCAAGATTTTCATAGTCTCTCTCTCAGTTTATTCATTTTCATCCAAGAAAGTGAATGTATGGCCCCCAAGAGGAATACAATTAATTATTGGGTAAATGAAGAAATTAGAGTTGCATGACAGCAGTATTCTGCAGAAGAGCAAAGATGAAAGAAAAACGTTCCAACTTCCTCAGGAAAACTTCATATTTCATCCATTAAAAAATGCCTGAATCCTAAAGATCAACATATAGAAAAGCATGAGGGCCAGAAAGTTTGCTGAAAAAGACACCCAGTCTTGATCCACCTGATCAATTCCTAGTGATGAGGCTGGGATACAAAAGGACTTTATACCGTGAGCTCCCCATTCCCATTAGGGGCCCGTCACAGTTTGAAATTCTTCACCTTTCAACGTTTATATACCTAAAAGAAAAATATTACATTGAGTAGGTGATACACCCTTATTAGTCTTCTTGGGCTTGAGAGCTGTGTGGGACATGAGTAAAGCTCACATCTAGGTGAGCCTGGCTGAGTCATGATAGTGTGAGCTCAGGGACCAAACTTGGCCCTGGCCCCTTCCTCTGGCCCTCTTTCCTTTCTTACTGGTTCCTGCCTCATATAAAGTACCTTTTTTTTCATTTGTACATACCATGATGTTTCTGCATTAGAAGCAATCAAACCAAAACTGAAATAGTTTATATAATAAGACAAATAAAACTTTTATTCATAAGTTCTGTATGTTAGGTATTTTTTCCTGTAATAACAAAAACAACAAAATTCCAGTACAGTTCACGTTCATGGTAGGTATCCGTTCTCTCTAAACTTCCAAATACCTCAATTCTTTCTTCAGAAAATTATATAAATGAGTTTTTCTATGAATACTCTAAACAGATTTCTTTTGTGTGCACATATTTCAGTTGAATCTAATTTCTTCTTTAATTTTATCCATAAGCAAATGGTCATTGAAGAGGGTATTTTAATTTCCACGTGTTTATGTACATTTTGTGGTTTCATTTGCCATTTATTTCCTATTTCATTGCACTGTGATTGGATAATATGAATATTATAATTTCAACTCCTTGGTATTTACCTAAGGATGGGTTTTTAAAAAAATTTATATATTGATTGGTACATTTTAGGTATACAGTACATTTACATTTATCATTGGGTGTTTGTACCTGAACATGATGTATCTTAGTTCTTATTTTTTCCCCCATTACCTGTGCACCCTTCACCCCCACCACCCTTCCCTATTTACATAGACTTTGTTTCCATTTTTTTTTCTTTCTCATAATTTTTCCTTTCCCTTCTTCCCTTTCCCCTTCCCCTCCTGCCACCCCTACCCCTTTGGACCTTTTCCTATTTCTAATTATCAATTATTCATTTTAATCATTTTCATCCTTATTTACACTTTCAGTTTCTCACACTAGAGATGCTATTCAGTATTTACACATGTGTGTCTTATTTATTTCACTTAAGAGTATGGCCTCAATATGCATCCACTTAGCTATAAATGACTCTAGTTGCTCATTCTTTATGGCTGAGTAGTACTCCATTTTGTAAAAAAACCACATCTTCTTTATCCAGTTTCCAGTTGATGGGCACTTGGGCTGTTTCCAAACTTTAGCTATTCCTCTACTGGGTATCTTCCCCAAAGAATTAAAAGAATCATACCACATCAATATATGTGCACCTATGTTTATAGTGGCATGGTTTGTAATACATAAGGATCTTCCTTGAGCTAGTACTTTGTCTATTTTGGAGGAACTACCATGTGCTGCTGAGAAGAATGTGTATTTTGGTGTTGAGTGGAATGCTCTCTAGATATCTATGTGTTTGGGTAAACTGAGGCATGTCTGATCGCACCCCACTGAATCAGGCAAAGTTGAAGCAACAGGTGGAGTTTATTTTGAGCTAAAGTCAAAAGTACTGTTGGCCTCGAGGGTGGGGTGAGGGGAAAATTTTATAGGGTAGTTTGGGGGAGAGTAGAAATTTTTGAGACTTGAAAGGGAGAGGTCTGTTGGAGTACAGGTTATCTCTTGTGGTTGCTGGGCATCCATGATTATAGGTTTTGTTGAGTGCGATAGGCATATTTTCCTTGAGCTTGTGTTCTGGCTTCCTGTTGGACATTTCTTGTAGGTATGAAGAGCTCAGGAATGAGATGCTTTTACTATTGTTCCTGGGTTGGAAGCCTGACATTATTAAGTCTATTTGTTCAAAAAGTGTGGTTCAACTCTGATATTTCTTTGTTGATTTTATAATAAGCTGATCTGTCTGTATGTGGCAGTGAGTTGTTGAGTTCCCCCATTATTATTGTATTAGTGATTATATGAGTTTTCATATTTTTAGTGTTGGTTTCATTATAGTTGGATGGATTGGTATTTGGTGCACATATATTTATGATTGTTATCTCTTCTTTTTTGGACTTTTTTGCAAGTATGTAGTTGTCCTCTTTGTCTCTTTTCTCTTTATTTTTTTTCCTTTGGTACATGGGGTGAGGGGTCAAACTCAGGACCTTGTTCTTGCAAGACAGGCACTGTGCCAATGAGCTCAATGCCTAGCCCTTTTTTGTCAGTCTTGTCTTGAAATCCACTTTGTCTGCAGTTAGAATAACTACTCCTGCTTCATCTGGGTTCCTGGTATCTGGAGTATTGTTTTCTTTGACTGGCAATCTATGAATTTATTTTTGACTTAAACAAATATCATATATGTAGCATATTGGTGGATCTTATTTCTTGAACTATTCTGCCAGTCTATTTTTTTGGTTAGTGAATTGAGACCATTTACATGGTTAGTTATAACTTATAGGTATTGACTTCACCTTGTCATTATATAATTATCCTGTTGTTGGTTCCCTGTCTTTTTTTCAATTTAATTGTTTTCTTGGCCTGCTGGATATATTCTATTGGTATCCTTGGAATTGTTTTCTTCATTTTCCTTTTCAAGAATATCCTTCAGAACTTTTTACAATGCTGGTTTTGTGGTTATAAATTTCTTCAGGTGTTCATTATCGTGGAAGTATGTATTTCTCCATTAATTTTGTAAGATAATTTTTGTAGGGTGCATGAATCTGAGTTGGAAGTTGTTTTCTTTCAGGGCTTGAAATGCTTCACTCCAACCTCTCCTTGAGTTTAGGGGTTGTGTTGAGAAGTCTGCTCTGATTCTGATGAATCTTAATTATAAATGAAATGTATCTCTTCCCTAACATCTTCTAATATTCCATTCCTGTGTTGAATTTCTGGAATTTTGATTAGTATATGCTTTAGTGTAGTTTTTTCTGAACATTCCTATTTGGAATTCTATATTTCTCATTTATCTATATATCAAATTCCTTTTTCATGCTGGGAAAGTTTTCTGCTATTAATTGTGTGAATTTTTTTGCCCTTTTTTTAGGTTCTGATTTTTCATTGATTCCAATTAATCTTATGTTAATCTTCTTTGCATCATCTAGCAGATGTTGGATTAATTTTTGATGGCCCCTTTCAATTTTTAAGATATCTTTCATAAGTGACCAGTTACAACCCTGACTTCTAGATCTGATATTCCACCCGATATCTATCCTCACATTGATTGAATCTGCTGCATGTACATTCAATAAAATTTTTAAATCATCAGATTTCTGTTTGATTCTATTTTATGGAATCCATTTTTTTTGGTTTGGCATTCATGGTTTCCATAGTTTTCTAAGGTTCTTTTGGTTTTTCTTAATCTCCCTCTACACTAGATTCACTCATTGTTTCATTCATTTTCTTCATATTTATAGTTATCTGTGTAATTATTTCTAGTTTGACTTTGTCAAGAGACATATTTATCTGCTTTGTTGCTTCTGCTGCTACCATTCCAGAAATTTCAGTTGGATAGCTTTTTATTTCTTGACCTTAATGCCCCCTGGATTTCTTTTGGGGGAGTTAAGATTTTTAGGTGAATCTTACTACCATCTTTTCTCCATTTTCTTTTTCTTTTTAAATTTTCTTTCTGTATCAAGACTTGTAAATTTTTTATGATAGGTAGTTTCATTACTAGTAAGAAGACCTCTTTAGGTAATGACTACTTTTCAGACATATCTTCTAGGCATAGCTGACTTTTGACTTTTGAGTCTGTCACAAGATCCTACCTCTTCTGTTTATTAGTGATTATAATTTCCAGTCTGTTTGGCCTAGCACCCAGTTCAATATTACTGGGATACAGTATTGTTTATGACTCCCAGATGATCTAGATATTGGCATATAAGCAAAATAAATCAATCGCAACTCTGTCACCTTAGCTAAAGTAGTACAATCAATAATAATAGCATCAAGCACAAACTGGAAAATGCCAAACTATAATGACTAATAGTTTGCCACCTTCAACCATAAGTATGAAATTAATAGCTATATAACAAAATGTAAAACAAACCACAAAATTATATACACTAAATTTCCACTCAGTACAATTTTATTGTTAAGCAATATTCAGCCATTGTAAGCTATAATCAACTATGTACAGATTCATAAAGGTAAATGGTACAAGGATGAAAGCATGAAGAAAAAAGAGAAAATAAATAGATTATAAAAAATAAACCAAGGGAAGTTGTGAAGTATGCGGTAAGA